TTCACTCATTTCCTGTTCATTGTCAGTATATAAATCTCCTCTCAATAATGGTCCAATTCTACAGGTAGTTCTTTGCTTGGATTTTACATAGGAATAGAATTATTTTGGGCTTCTTGCAATATCCTGTATGACCTTTTGTTCCCTTTGTACATACTTCTGTTAAGTATGGCATAAGTTTTTGTTCTAGTTCAGTGATCTCTCCGCTAAGACTATCTTTCCTCTGTTGCAACATATTTGTGTTTTTAAGCAATTCAGTAACCCATTTTCTTCTGTACCATCTCCTGTGCTCTCTCTATATATCTGATCTTCTGGGTTTTCTCAATGGTACATGCTTCATACATATCATGTTTGCTTCTGTATTCAGCTTCTCTAGGCACTGGTGGCAATTTAGGGTGCTCTTGTCTGATTCCCAGGATATGTCTGATAGCTCTTGGTTTATTTTTTCCCAGTCAATTCTGTGGTTGTTAAAATTAAACTTACTGAACATCCCATCTCTAACATTAGTGATGCAGTTCCCAAGCCCTGAGTTAATACTCGTTTGAAGTTCTATAATGTTGTGATCAGAGTAGTATACAGTGGAACCTCAAATATCGAACTTTCTTCGGTCCAGAAGTCTGTTCGAGTGCCTTTACCGAATGAATTTATTCCCATCAGGAATAATGTAAATTAGATTAGTCCATTTCAGACCCTTAAAAATACACTTATAAAAGCACTTACAAAAATACACTTACATAATTGGTTGTGTTGGGAGCAGTTCGATTTTTGAGGTTCCACTGTATTATTTTTGTAGCTGTTATGTCTGATTAGCTCCTCGTTTGTGAATATCAAATCCAGGGTATTTTCATTTCTAGAGGGATCAATTATCTGTTGGTTTAATGAGTACTTTTCACAAAGCCTAATTAGTGCCCTGTTATGTGCCTGTTGAGCTAGAGCACTTACCGGAGATATTTCTGGTACATATAACATTGTGTTGTGCCCTCTTCCATTTTACATGAGGGAGATTAAAATCTCCAAGGAGTAAAATATTTGGTGTGGGATTTTCTAGTTTACACAGATAGCTATCTATCTTCCTTAACTGATCTGTGAATTCCTTAGCAGTTGCGGATGGTTGTTTGTATACTAGGATAATTACCAAATTCCTATGTTCAACTTTATTGCCTAGGATTTCTACTGCAGCCTCTCCTCACTTTGCGACATACTCGTTTACTGACGCCTCGGAATTAAGACGGGCTCTCTGACCAGTATTCATTCCTAAATAATGTATATTAGAGCTGATTTCCTCTTTTCTGTTTATTTCAATATATAGTACACTACTGTATAAACATTTAAAAATATACCAGAAATGTTATAAATGGTGCAAAGGTGACATTAAAACTATCAAAGATGGTTGATACAAGCTCACTACCATTATAGTATGCTCCTTGCTTAGCGATGGATTCATTTAACGCTGTGGTCTTAGGAACGGAACTCCATCGTTAAGTGAGGAGAGGCTGTATATCATTCATAGAGTTCAGCACTTCTGTGCAACAGAAAGTATCTTTTACATAGAGTCCTACTTCTCCCTGTGACCTATCACATCTATACATGTTATAGTTTTCTATCTTTATCTCTCCATCCAAAACATCCCTTGTGTGTTTCTGTAAATGCTCCAAACATGGCATTTGCTCCTGATAGGAGTCCACTGACGTAACTAACTTTGTCGTATTTATTTGATTTCAGATCCTGAATATTTGCAAATATGAAGCACGAGTTACCATTTGGGATGTTTGTTTTGCTTTGTGTTTCGTTAGTACCACTGGCAATGTACTACCTGGTATGGCCCTGGTGTACGTACCCCTGGTTTCTCCAGTACTGACTTTGCAGTATTTTTGCAAATTTATTACTATTTCATGAATTCAGTCACAAGGCACACTGAAACATGACTTATTTTCATGTTTTGATAAGTATTACACCTTGAAATGATTGTAATATCATAGGATTTTGTTGTAAATATGTTTTACAGTAATCTGGAAGGCACACAGGTGTTATGAGCACACAATGTTTATATAACCCAGGAGGTGGGAAATACAGTGCTTGCACTCTAAAGGAGGGGTTTGGGATATTTGCTGTTTAGAGGGACATCTAAAGTGTCATATCTGTGCAACTCTGGCAAGACAGTGGTAGTGTGATTGATGGTGAAAGTGTTTTTTTTTGGGTTACCCTGCTTTAGTGGGAGAGAACCAGCATGTTTAACAAAACAATTAATCTAGGATAACCCAATATGTATAACCAAACAGCGCAATTTATTTCTGTATTTTAAGGAGTACTTCATCTTGAAACAACTGTATATAAGTATTTATTATACATAGTGTTAGAAGAACAAAGTAGTAAAAAATAGATTAAAAAACAACTATTTCACAAATATGTACTGCCTCTTCTCACTTAACGATGGAATTCTGTTCTTAAGACCACGTCAGTAAACAAATTTGTCACTTAGTGAGGAGCATACTATAATGGTAGTGAGTTTGTGTCAACTATCTTTGATATTATTTTTATGTCACCTTTGCACCATTTATAACATTTCTGGTATATTTTAAAATTTTTATACAGTAGTGTACTATATATTGTAATAAGCAGAATAGAGGAAATCAGATCTAATATACATTATTTAGATATGCATACTGGTCAGAGAGCCAGTCACAGTCCGAGTCATTGCTAAATGAGTACATTGCTAAGTGAGGAGAGGCTTTACTATATGTTCCAAGTGGAGCAATGTCTGGCTGAGCATTTTCCCATGTTTGAAGTACAAGTTGGTTAACCCTTTCATTGCCGTGACCCCTGTTTGCAAACTTGCTCCCAGTGTTGAAGAATTTTCAAAAAAAAAAAAAAAAAAAATGTGTGAAGTAATAGAGAATTTTTCTGAAGGTCACAAAATCAAAAATACGAAATTCGATGGAAAATTTACAGAATTATGCTCTCGCAAAGTTAGTAGTATTGGTGATATTTATGTATCGGTAATTTTTGCCCATGTTGCATTCTATTTTTTATTATTTCCACTGTTCCAGTCAACCAAACTCATAGCTATATCACTAGTATTTCTTCTGTTCTGTCGATTGAGTACAAGAAACTGCCCATTTACCTATTTCAACTACCCAATAAAGTGATCAGAAGTCAATAATTTGGCCATTTTCACACAAATTTCAAGAGATACCAATTTCAAAATACATGTATGGTCCAGAATAAACAGTGGAGACATTCCTGCTACTAAAATAACATTTTCTCTGTTCATTAGTCATGTTCAGGCCCCTCTTATATTATGCTTGCTTTCTATTCCGAATTTTTATTCACACAAAAAATAGAAGATTTGCTGTTATGCAGACTACTGCATTATTGTAATGCATAGATAATGTCAACCCATTCGAGACCGCATATTAGACCGAGCTGTTGGACACGGATTTGATGTGTGACTTGATTTGTTTACTCTTGGCAGGGTCACAGTGGAACCATCCGCTAGTGTAAGTAGGTCTTTGTCCAAAGGTTGGACAGGTATTGAAGAATTCCTTGTACCAAGATCCCATGATGTTGCAGTGTCTGACAGATGTGATAAATGGTTTTGAAAACCGTCAAATTGAAGAATGAGACACTTATGCAACATATGGTTTTCTAGTAGATGGTTCTACTGTGAGCCCACCTCCTCCTGCTTGGACTCACCTGCCAACAGTACATAAGCCATGTCTCTGGCCATATGCTGTACTTTCTACAAGATTGATGGACTGAACACATCAATTCCAGGTTGAGGGACTGATTACCTCAAACTATTCCTCTCCTTACACCTTCCTTCTTTGCATTGGACTGATGAAGCCACTGTGTGGCAAAACGTTTCCTCAGTAAGATTCCCATATGTTGCATAAGTGTCTCATTTTTCAACTTGTCGGTTTTCAAAACTATTTATAAAGTGAATTAAATACTTTAACTTGCATGACCCTTTGCAACATTTTTTACTCATAAAAATTATTTTAATTGTTACTAAGTGTGATAAATACAAACCGAAAAGCAACTAGACAGATTTTAATGAAATTAGCCATTTTAACAACATTGAGTTAATGCATTTTGTTAGTTGGGTTAATAAGGCCCACCTCTTCAACCCATCAAGGGACCTAGGATATCACAACTCTTCATCCTTACAAATGCCCTTGGACCATGGTAACCCCTAAGCCCAACAAATATCTTCAGACTATAGTAACCCTTCAACTCACCCATGGTCCTTGATCTTTATAGCCCCTTTGCCCAACAGCTGCACTTGAACTGTGGCACCTCTTCTGAATATTTGCTCACATACTGTTGCTAAACTTCAGCTCCCCAACTTCTCGTGAACTGTTGCAACCTCAGCTCAACATTGGAACCCTTCAGTCTAACAAGAGCTCTTAGACTTCTGAAATCCTGAACCGAACAACTTCTTTAGGACTTTCATACCCTTCAACCCAACAGTACTGTTAGGGCCATTGTAACCATTAACCCAACAACAGCTCTAGGATCATTACAGTCCTTCAGCCCAACAACAGCTCTAGGATTGTTGCAGCTCTTCAACCCAACAACAGCTCTGGGACCATTGCAGTCCTTCAACCCAACAACAGCCCGAGAACAATCACAAGTCAACTTGATAACAGCACAACTGCCATAATATAACTGTTTTTCCTTTATTTTGTTACTCTTTAATTTGTTTTTTTTGTTCATAGTATGCATGTTCAAATTTTAGGCATATTTTTGTTTAAAAAAAAATAATCTTATGGCTGAAAATATTTTTATTAACACAACATCCATCTCCCACCAAGGCAGGATGACCCAAAAAAGAAGAAACTTAAAGGTTTTCTTCTTCTTACATTTAGTATGTATTCAGGAGAAGGGGGTTACTAGCCCCTTGCTCCTGGCATTGTATTCACCTCTTACAACACACATGACTTATGGAGGAAGGATTCTTCTCTACTTCCCCATGGAGGACTGGAAATATATGGTAGTATTAATCACACCCACTAAAGGAAAAATTGCTAGCTGAGTTTTCCTCTCCACTTGCATTTTTGTGTATATTGCAACCACTTACAAATTCTTATGTACTTTTGCAGGCCTTCATGTTACTAGAAGACCTAGGAACAAAAGTTAAAAGCACATCATCTAGAAAGCGCACCCATAAAGATGAAAATGAACGTGAAAAAGATAGCAAAAGGGCGAGGGTCAAAGATGAAAAGGAATCTTCATCGGATACTAAAGCCACTCATCCACCATCATCTGGACCAAATAATACAGTTAGTCCTGGACAGATTCAAGCTCAGCAGGTAAGCTAAACTAAGAAAGTAAAATTTACAAATCACTTCATACATTGTAGTTATCCTATTGTTTTTGAGATTTCTCTTTTAGATCAGATTTTTCAGTTAACTGGAATCTTAATGAATAAAATTGCTATTTTTTCATCCAATAACTACGAATATTGTAGTTTTAAATTAATGTGAGGGCACTAATATATAATTATATTTATAATATGATTTTCTTTTGAATATTATGATTTTTTTAAAAATCTTTAATTCTTTAAAGAAACTGCAGTGGACCCCTGGTTTTCAGCCGGTGCAGAAATCATACAATTTGGATTTCGAGCACATTTTTCGGCGAAATTTCCCACTCGGGTTTTGTACATAGGCTCGGAAATCGACAGAACCAGATGCGTCTGCCTGGGCTGCTCATACGTTCATGACTCACTCTAGGGCACATTAAATGTGTTATATTAGGTTAATATAGACATTTTCATTAATCTATGATATTTTCTTCAAAATTATGTAAAAAACACATTACATAGCATATACAGTGGACCCTTGGTTTTTGTTTTTAATCCATTACAGAGAGACCGGCGAAAACTGAAATAATTTTCTCTATAAGAAATAATGTAAATCCAGTTAATCCATTCCAGACACCCAGAAGTATTAACAAAAAAATTTTTTTTATTTCTTTAAAATTTTCCTAAAATGGGACATGGCATTGTCATTGTAAAAGTCGCCGGCACGGAATGCAGCAGATTTCTCAGGGTGATGTTCCTCCACAAATGAATGCACCCTACTCCACATTGCACAAATCTCCTTAATCTCTGAAGAAGGCACCTTCTTCCATCTCTCTCCCTCCTCCTCTGAAGCATTTCATGAGCTGTGGTTTGTTGCTGTTGCAGATGAATCTCTTGCAGCTCATCAGTGGTTACCTCTTGATTCTGGTCCTCCACCAACTCTTCTACATCCTGGCTACTCACATCCAACCCCATGGAATTCCCCAATGCCACAGTACTTTCCACAACAGGCAGAGGGTCGACAGGGCCAGCCCCAAACCCTTCAAAATTCCTCTCTTGGACACAATCTGGCCACAATTTTCTCCAAGCAGAGTTCATCGTCCTGGAAGTCACTCCCTGCCAAGCCTTATCTATAAGGCTTGGATACTGAGGATACTGAAGTGATCCCTCCAGAACTCTCTTAGGGTCAGTTCAGAGTCTGAGGTTATGTCAAAGCACCTTTGAAACATTGCTTTGGTGTACAGTTTTTTGAAGTTTGCAATGATCTGCTGGTCCATGGGCTGGATGAGAGGAGCGGTGTTAGGAGGCAACAACTTCACTGTTACAAAACTGAATTCCTTAGACAATTGGTCTTCCAAGTCTGGAGGATGAGCCAGAAGGAGCATTGTCCATTAACAGGAGGCACTGGAGTAGCAATTTATTATCCAGGAGGTATTTCTTCACACTCAGGCCAAACACTTCATTGAACCATTCCAGGAAAATTTCCCTCGTGACCCATGCCCTACTGTTAGCCTTCCACATCTCACACAATTTACTCTTGATGACACTGTTTTTCTTGAACACACTGGGATTTTCAGAGTGATACACCAGTAAAGGCTTCACTTTGAAATTCCCACTAGCATTACCACACAACAAGAGAGTTAGCCTGTCTTTCTAAGGCTTGTGTCCTGGGAGTGCGTTTTCCTCCTGTGTGATGTAGGTCCTCTTTGGCATTTTCTTCCAAAACAGGCCTGTTTCATCACAATTGAACACTTGTTGGGGTTGGAATTTTTCAGCCTGTATATACAGTGGACCCTCAGGTAATGATGTCATCGGATAACGAAAAAATCGGATAGCAACATGTTTTTGTGTCAAAATATTGGCTTGGTTACCAAAAACGAACTTGGTTAAGGACATTCGTCGCGAACGTGTCTGCGTGGCCTGAGCGGGCCCGGCCACTCCATGTACAGCTAGTGTGCCATTGTTTATAAGCCAGTGAGGACGATTCCACGCGTACATGTGATATATCTTGAATTACATATTCCATCGTTTTTAGTGCTTGTAACTGCTAAATAAGCCACCATGGGGCCAAAGAAAGCTTCTAGTGCCAGCCCTGTGGTAAAGAGGGTAAGAAATACTATTGAATTGAAGAAAGAGATCATCGCAAAATACAAAAGTGGAGTGCATGTCTCCGAGTTGGCCAGGTTATATAACAAACCCCATTCAGCCATCGCTACTATCTTGGCGAACAAAAAGGCAGTCAAAGAGGCTGTTGTTGTGAAAGGTGCAAGTATACTTACAAAACAGAGATTGCAAATACTCGAAGATGTGGAGAGACTGTTGTTGGTGTGGATCAACGAGAAACAATTATCAGGAGATAGTGTTTCTCAGTGAAAAGGCAAGGCAGTTGCATGCGGATCTCATTAAGAAAATGCCTCCAAGTATTGCTCATATTGATGAATTTAAGGCCAGCAAAGGCTGGTTTGAGAGATTTAAGAATCGTAGTGGCATACAGTGTGATAAGGCATGGTGAGGCTGCCAGTTCTGACAAAAATCGGCTGAAAAATATGTGCAGGACTTTAAGGGGTACATAGAGGCTGAACAATTAAAACCCCAACAAGTGTTCAGTTGTGACAAAACAGGCCTGTTTAGGAAGAAAATGCCAAACAGGACCTACATTACTCAGGAGGAAAACTCAGTCCCAGGACACAAGCCTATGAAAGACAGGGTAACTCAAGTTTTGTAGTAATACTAGTGAGGGTTGCAAAGTGAAGCCTTTACTTGTGTATCACTCTGAAACTCCCAGTGTGTTCAAGAAAAACAGTTTTGTCAAGACTAATTTGTGTGTGATGTGGAGAGCAAACAGTAAGGCATGGATCACTAGGGACATTTTCCTCGATTGGTTCTATGACATGTTTGGCCCCAGTGTGAAAAAATACCGCCTGGAAAATAAATTGCCACTCCAGTGCTTCCTGTTAATGGACAGTGCTCCTGCTCATCCTCAAGACTTGGAAGAGTGAATTGTGAGGGAGTTTAGTTTTATCAAAGTCAAGTTTTTACCTCCTAACACCACTCTTCACCTCCAGCCCATGGACCAGCAGCTCATTTCAAACTTCAAAAAACTCTACACCAAAGCAGTGTTTCAAAAGTGCTTTGAAGTGACCTCAGACACTGAATTGACCCTAAGAGAGTTCTGGAAGATCACTTCAGTATCCTCAGTTGCATAAACCTTATGGTAAGGCTTGGGAGGGAGTGACTTCCAGGACTTTGAACTCTGCTTGGAGAAAACTGTGGCCAGAATGTGTACAAGAGAGGGATTTTGAAGGGTTTGGGGCTAACCTTGAGGAGCCTATGCCAGTTTGGAATCTATTGTGGCATTGGGGAAGTTCATGGGGTTGAAGATTAGTGGCAAGGATGTGGAAGAGTTGCTGGAGGACGACGATGAAGAGCTAACCGCTACAGAGCTGCAAGAGCTTGAGGTGCAACAGTAACAGACCACAGTTCAGGAATTTCCTTCAGAGGAGGAGGAAGAGAGATGGAGGAAGTTGCCTTCATCAAAGATTAAGAACATTTGTACAATGTGGACAAAGGTGCAAGCATTTATGGAATAACATTACTCTGACACAGGTGTTGCAGGCAACATGTACAATGACAATATTGTGTCTCATTTTAGGGAAACCTTAAAGAGACACCAAAAACAGAGCTCTCTGGACAGATTTTTGGTACAACAGGGGCCCAGTGGCTCTCAAGCTGGTCCTAGCAGCATTAAAAAACAAAGAAGGGAGGTAACTCCAGAAAAGGACTTGTTACCTAAAGTCCTTCCAAACAATTGTAAATACCTCCATCCTCTGCTCTCCTCCCATCTCATCACTCATCAATAAGTCCTCAATAAAGGTAGGTGTGATTTCTGTATTGTTTATTCTGCATGTCTCATTGTTTTCTGTGTAGGGAAATGTATATTTCATGTAAAAAAATTATTTTGTTTTAATACTTTTGGGAGTCTGGAACGGATTAATTGGATTTCCATTATTTCTTATGGGTAAAACTAATTCGGATAATGAACAAAATCGGTTAAAGACAAGCTCTCTGGAACGGATTAATGTCATTACCCGAGGGTCCACTGTATACACCTAGGATGTAGTCCCTCTGGGACTACAAATAAATACTACTCACCAACAAGAGTCTTCAATAAAGGTATGTAATGTTCATTTATCATTAAAATTAGTCATTTACAGTGGACCCTCAGTTAACGCCTTAATCCGTTCCAGAGAGCTACCCTTTAACCGATTTAGCCTTAAACCGAATTATTTTTTCCCATGAGAAATAAAGGAAATCCAATTAATCTGTTCCAGACACTCAAAAATATTAAACAAAATAATTTTTTACATGAAATATACATTTCCCTACACAGAAAACAATGATACATGAAAAATAAAACAATAATAACATCACACTTACCTTTATTGTGGACTTGTTGATGAGTGATGAGACAGGAGGAGGGCAGAGGATGAAGGTGTTATAGTGTTTGGAAGGGGAATCCCCTTCCATAAAGACTTCAGGTAATAAGTCCTTTTCTGGCTTGTGTCCTGGGAGTGCCTTTTCCTCCTGAGTAATGTAGGTCCTGTTTGGCATTTTCTTCTTAAACAGGCTTGTTGGGGTTTTAATTTTTCAGCTTCTATGTACCCCTTAAAGTCCTGCACATATTTTTCAGCTGCTTTTTTGTCAGAACTGGCAGCCTCACCATGCCTTATCATACCATACCACCATCACAACCACTGCCACCCTCTGCCCCCACCACTACTACCCTCTGCCACCACCACTACTACCCTCTGCCTCCACCACTACTACCCTCTACCACCTTCACAACCACTACCACCCTCTACCACCATCACAATTACTACCACCCTCTACCACCACCACTACAACCCTCTACCACCACCACTACAACCCTCTACCATCACCACTACCACCCTCTACCACCATAACAATTGCTACCACCATAACAATTGCTACCACCCTCTACCACCACCACTACAACCCTCTACCACCATCACTACCACCCTCTACCACCCTCCACCACCACCACTTTCGTATTTTTCTACAAACTTTTTCTTAAATTATGTGTGTTTCTCACATTCTTTACCATAGGGCTGGCACTAGAAGCTTTCTTGGGGCCCATGGTGGCTTATTTAGCAGTTACAAGCACCAAAAACTATGGAATAATACAACGTATATCGCATGTACACGAGGAATTGTCCTCACTGGCTTTGTAAACAATGGTACACTGGCTGGTACACGGAGTGAGTGGCCGGGCCCGCTCAGGGTGCCGTGCCGACACGTTCAGGATGAAAGCTCCTAACCGAGTTTTTAGGTGTTACCCGAGCCAATTTTTTTTACGCCAAAGCGAGGCGTTATCCAATTTTAGCATTAGCCGATGCCGCTGTTAACTGAGAGTCCACTGTATATTTATTTCACATTGTTTTCTGTGTGTAAAACTATAGTTATTCTCTATAAAATGTATATTTTGTTAATATTTTTGGTGTCTGAAACGGATTAATTGGATTTGCATTATTTCTTATGGGAAATATTCGGTCTTCGGCCATTTCATATTTTGGCCAACCTTCTGGAATTGATTAATTACGAAAACTGGGGCTTTACTGTAGTATCATTCTGATGTTTTAAATTTTTTTTTTTATAAAATTCAAAAGTGTTTTTTCTTTTTTAACGCTGACCATCTTCTGCTGATGTAGGATGATCTAAAAAAAAATGCATTCACCCTTATTCATTTGATAGATGTCATGCCAAAAGTCTTCATTCATATTTTTGTATTTGCCTCTTAATACTCACCTGTGTGAGGTAGCAGGGATCGATTCTCAGATCCTGGCCCTGCCTCTTAACTTGTCACTCTTCAGATTCACTCTCTCTTAGCCTCGTGGGCCCTGTTACCTGGAGTTTACCCGGAAAGGGTTTTGGGGGTCAAAGCCCCTGCGGCTCGGTCTGAGACCAGGCCTCATAGTGGATCAGGGTCTGAGCAACTAGGTTGTTACCTGGTCTTGAAACTCTGTTTGGAGCCTGCCTCCACCACTTCTCACCAAGATCATTGTACTTCTAGATCACTTCTGATCACATCCCTGTGGCTCATCTGAGCATTTTTTTCCGACTGTGTCTCTGGATTTCCATTTCTTGCCTCTCAAACAGCCTATACCTTATCAGTTCCCTGAGTATTTTGTATTTGTCATATTTTCTACTGGTTGTTCTGTCCTCTAATGTTGTTAGGTCTAATTACGTAGCCTTTTCTCGTAGCTGATACCCCGAGCTCGAGCAATCCTTGTTGCATACTTCAGCACCTCTTGTTTCTTAGCGTGTTTTTTTTTGAGTGCAGGTTACGTTCCTGAAAAATGTGCTACCAGTGAATTGACTGAGGTTGAGAAACTGATTATTTCCTATTCTACGGTATTCCATTTATGTCTCTGTATTGAACTGATAAAACCACAGGTTGGCAAAAAATCTACAAAATAAAGATAACCAGATGTTGCATGTGTGTCTAATTCATCATTTTACTCTTTAGGAGAATAAGGATATCTTCCTTGAGCAACCTAATGCAAACAAACCAAAATTAGTTGGGTGTTATTTTCACAGATCAAGGATATCATGGCTAAAGCTCAGGCTGTTATTGAAGAGAGAAAGAAAGCTATGGCAAACCTTCAAACTTCTGAGCCAAAGCCAACAACTAATGGTGCAGGTAAGGCCTTGACATTCTTCTCAAGGTTTGACAGTACATGTTTACTCCCTCACTTTATATGGGTTAGTTTTATACACATATTCATTGTTGTGCAGTGTCCCATTTCTGTCAGTCACTCCATATGAGCAATATACCTTTGCTTTAGGTGATTTGTGTGAGTTGCAGTATAGAACAATCTTCTTATGGGGAATTACACCTGTGTGTAATTTAGAATGCCAGGAATACCACTTTTTTGTGAGGACCTCATGTATGTAGTCATTAGATCTGTAAAACAAGACTCCAGTCACAAGGGAAATAATAATGTTGAAAAACTTAAGGTTGAGGGGGAGGGGAGTTTGTTAATGTAAATAAAAAATGAAAACTTGGTAGTCATTGTTATAAATTTGTTTTACTTAATAATCATTCCTTGTTTTCTATATATAGTAAACTCAGTTTAATAGAATTTGAAAATACTGGACGAAATTTGCTGGGTCAGTTGATATAGAAACAAATGGACAAAGTTCCATTAGTGTACAAAAATATCTGTTATTGTTAAGATCATGGCAAAACAGTTCCATCTTTAATTACCACAATCACTATTACCAGCTACCTACTCCTCCCTCTTAGTCCTTTAAAGGGAAAGTTTACTATATTTCTTTTCTTTTCTTCTTTCAATGCACCAGCCATATCCCACTTAGGCAGGGTGGAACTTGACAGAGTTCCACATCAGAGACTATTGAGGAGACTTAGGGCACACGGAATAGGAGGAGAAATTTTTTCCTGGGTAGAGGCATGGTTGACAAATAGGCAGCAGAGAGTTTGCATAAATGGGGGAGAAATCAGAATGGGGGCACGTCACAAGTGGTGTTCCACAGAGGTCAGTGTTGGGCCACTTGTTGTTTACAATCTACATAAACGACATAAATGAGGGAATAAATAGCGACATAAGCAAATTTGTTGATGACACCAAAATAGGCCGTCCAGTTCATTCTAATGAGGACAGAGCACTCCAGGATGATTTGAATAGACTGATGCAGTGGTCGGAGAAGTGGCAGATGCAGTTTAATATAGACAGATTCAAAGTTCTAAATGTTGGACAGGAAAATAACCATGTCACATATAAACTAAATAATGTAGATCTTAATATTACGGATTGCGAAAATGATTTAGAAGTTCTGGTTAGCAGTAATCTGAAACCAAGACAACAGTTTACCTGGAGTTTACTTGGAGAGGATTTCGGGGGTCAATGCCCCCACAGCTCGGTCTGAGACCAGGCCTCATGGTGGATCTGGGTCTGATCAACCAGGCTGTTACTGCTGGCCGCATGCAAGCTGATGTACGAACCAAAGCCCAGTTGGTCAGGTACTGACTTTAGGTCCTTGTCCAGTGCCTTCCTGAAGACAGCCAGGGGTCTATTGGTAATCTCCCTTATGTATGCTGGGAGGCAATTGAACAGTCTTGGGCCCCGTACACTTATCATGTTGTCTCTCAGTGTACTCGTGGCGCCCCTGCTTTTCATCGGGGGAATGTTGCATCTCCTGCCGAGTCTTTTGCTTTCATAGGGAGTGATTTTCATGTGCAGGTTTGGTACCAGTCCCTCCAGGACATTCCAAGTGTATATTATCGTGTATCTCTCTCACCACCTGCATTCCACGGAATACAGATCAAGGACCTTCAACGTTCCCAGTAATTTAGGTGCCTTATCATATTTATGTGCGCCATGTAAGTTCTTTGTACACTCTCCAGGTCTGCAATGTCGCCAGCCTTGAACGAGGCCGTTAGTGTACAGCAGTATTCCAGCCTAGAGAGAACAAGCGACTTGAAGAGAATCATCATGGGCTTGGCGTCCCTAATTTTGAAGGCTCTCATTATCCATCCTGTAATTTTCTTAGCATATGAAAGGTAGATACATTGCTGTGGTCTTTGAAGGCGAGATCCTCTGACATTATCACTCCCAGGTCCATCACATTACTTTTCCGCTCTATTGTACGGTTAGAATTTGTTGTATACCCTGACACATTTTTAATTTCTTCAAGTTTCCCATATCTGAGTAGTTGAAATTTCTCCTCATTGAACTTCGTATTAAACCATACCCCCGGCCGGGATTGAACCCGCGGTCATAGAGTCTCAAAACTCCAGCCCGTCGCGTTAGCCACTAGACCAGCTAGCCACAATAAGATTCATCCAACTAGGTATATTTCTACACCATAGGAAAGTTAGCACAGGCACCTCTGTGACCACAAATGCAAGTTTTTACAGACGAATCTCCAGCTAGCGTGGCCGTGACGAACTAGCATCTCACAGTGGGACTAGCATCTCACAGTGCATAAGTGTTCGCAATAAAGCTAACAAAATCCTTGGCTTCATAGCAAGAAGTGTAAATAATAGAAGTCCTCAGGTTGTTCTTCAACTCTATATATCTTTGGTTAGGCCTCATTTAGATTATGCTGCGTAGTTCTGGTCACTGTATTACAAAATGGATATAAATGCACTGGAAAATGTACAAAGGAGGATGACAAAGTTGATTCCATGTATCAGAAATCTTCCCTATGAGGATAGACTGAGGGCCCTGAATCTGCACACTCTAGAAAGGCATAGAATTAGTCGGACTTGAGTCCTGGAAATGGGAAGTACAATGCCTGCACTTTAAAGGAGGGGTTTGGGATATTGGCAGTTTGGAGGGATATGTTGTGTATCTTTATATGTGTATGCTTCTAAACTGTTGTATTCTGAGCACCTCTGCAAAAACAGTGATAATGTGCGAGTGTGGTGAAAGTGTTGAATGATGATGAAAGTATTTTCTTTTTGGGGATTTTCTTTCTTTTTTTGGGTCACCCTGCCTCGGTGGGAGACGGCCGACTTGTTGAAAAAAAAAAAAAATGATTGAGGTGTAGAAATGGAAAACAGGAATTAATAAAAGGGATGTAAATAGCATGCTAAAAATATCTAACATAGACAGAACTCACAGCAGTGGTTTTAAATTGGAAAAATTCAGATTCAGGAGGATATAGGAAAGCACTGGTTTATAGAGTTGTGAATGAGTGGAACAAACTCCCGAGTACCGTCATAGAAGCTAAGATGTTGTGTAGTTTCAAAAATAGGCTGGATAAATACATGAGTGGGTGTGAGTTGGACCTAACTAGCTTGTGCTACTGGGTCAGATGCTGTGCTCCTCCTTTAAGTGACGTGTCTGACCTCACTTGGTCAGTGAGCTTATGCCGGTAGGAGAATTGGACCTGCCTCGCATCGGCTAGTAGGCCTGTTGCAGCGTTCCTTCTTTCTCATGTTCTTATATTTATTTCATTTTTTTTATTAACACACGGGCCGATTCCCACCAAGGCAGGGTGGCCCAAAAAAGAAAAACTTTCACCATCATTCACTCCATCACTGTCTTGCCAGAAGGGTGCTTTACACTACAGTTTTTAAACTGCAACATTAACACCCCTCCTTCAGAGTGCAGGCACTGTACTTCCCGTCTCCAGGACTCAAGTCCGGCCTGCCGGTTTTCCTGAATCCCTTCATAAATGTTACTTTGCTCACACTCCAACAGCACGTCAAGTATTAAAAACCATTTGTCTCTATTCACTCCTATCAAACATGCTCACGCATGCCTGCTGGAAGTCCAAGCCCCTCGCACACAAAACCTCCTTTACCCCCTCCCTCCAACCTTTCCTAGTCCAACCCCTACCCCTGCCTTCCTTCCACTACAGACTGATACACTCTTGAAGTCATTCTGTTTCACTCCATTCTCTCTACATGTCCGAACCACCTCAACAACCCTTCCTCAGCCCTCTGGACAACAGTTTTGGTAATCCCGCACCTCCTCCTAACTTTCAAACTACGAATTCTCTGCATTATATTCACACCACACATTGCCCTCAGACATGACATCTCCACTGCCTCCAGCCTTCTCCTCACTGCAACATTCATCACTCATGCTTCACACCCATATAAGAGCGTTGGTAAAACTATACTCTCATACATTCCCCTCTTTGCCTCCAAGGACAAAGTTCTTTGTCTCCACAGACTCCTAAGTGCACCACTCACCCTTTTCCCCTCATCAATTCTATCATTCACCTCATCTTTCATAGACCCATCCCCTGACACATCTACTCCCAAATATCTGAATACATTCATCTCCTCCATACTCTCTCCCTCCAATCTGATATCCAATCTTTCATCACCTAATCTTTTTGTTATCCTCATAACCTTACTCTTTCCTGTATTCACTTTTAATTTTCATCTTTTGCATACCCTACCAAATTCATCCACCAAGCTCTGCAACTTCTCTTCAGAATCTCCCAAGAGCACAGTGTCATCAGCAAAGAGCAACTGTGACAACTCCCACTTTATGTGCGATTCTTTATCTTTTAACTCCACGCCTCTTGCCAAGACCCTTGCATTTACTTCTCTTACAACCCCATCTATAAATATATTAAACAACCATGGTGACATCACACATCCTTGTCTAAGGCCTACTTTTACTGGGAAATAATTTCCCTCTTTCCTATGTACTCTAACTTGAGCCTCACTATCCTCGTAAAAACTCTTCACTGCTTTCAGTAACCTACCTCCTACACCATACACCTGCAACATCTGCCACATTGCCCCCCTATCCACCCTGTCATATGCCTTTTCCAAATCCGTAAATGCCACAAAAGCCTCTTTAGCCTTATCTAAATACTGAAGGGGGTAGGGGAGTTTCGGTGGGGGGAAATAAATGGGATTAAATCTGGAGTATCTGAGAGAGTTAGAGCAAAGGAAGAGATAGCAGTAATGTTGAATGATCAGTTATGGAAGGAGAAAAGAGAATATGAATGTGTAAATTCAAGAATTATGTGGATTAAAGTAAAGGTTGGATGCGAGAAGTGGGTCATAATAAGCGTGTATGCACCTGGAGAAGAGAGGAATGCAGAGGAGAGAGAGAGATTTTGGGAGATGTTAAGTGAATGTATAGGAGCCTTTGAACCAAGTGAGAGAGTAATTGTGGTAGGGGACCTGAATGCTAAAGTAGGAGAAAC